TGGCAGCACTACAGTGGGCATTTGGTGGTGGGGTTCCCCAGCCCTGACTTACCTCTGTCTGCTCCAAGCTGAAGCAGAGGCTGGGGGTTTTGCTTTGGGAAGGGAACTAGACTTCCTAAAGGCTTTGTGGTTGTCCCTAGGTGAATAGGCCACTGACCATGAAGAAGGAAGGGATCCAGACTCGAAACCGGAAGATGTCCAACAAGTCCAAGAAGAACAAGAAGGGGGCAGAGTGCTTTGAGGAGCTGTCCAAGTGTATGCAGGAGAAGGCCTCCCCCTTTAGTGCTGCTGCCCTGGCTGGACATATGGCGCCTGTGGGCCACCTCCCACCCTTTAGCCACTCTGGACACATCTTGCCCACCCCAACTCCCATCCATCCCTCCTCCAGCCTCTCCTTTGGCCACCCCCACCCATCTAGCATGGTAACTGCCATGGGCTAGGGACAGTCCTCCATGATGAAAAGATAGATGCAGAGGAGAGTGGCCTGCAACTCAAGGCTGGATGCTCCCAAGATGGGTAGACCAAAACCTTACCTATCTACCCTTCTGCAAAGACTGATGCCTTTCATCAGCCCAGCCTGAGCCTGAGCCCTTGCTGCCTCACTTGTGGGTGCTCTGCTCAGCAGTCACCAGTCACTATGAAGATTCTCAGTGGGACTGAGAGATCATCACCGCCAAGCTGCTACCCAGTTGGGGTTCCCATCACGGACAATTGTTTGGAGAGCAGAAAGGACAACTTTATGAAGAGAGAAGGTGGGGGTGGGGGACAAACAAAGGAAACCAGTTTTAGAAAAAAGAGAGTAGGCAAAATAATTTATTTTTGCTTTTTTCTAACAAGGACTGAGGAACTTGGTAGGTCTGAGCCACCCCTGGCTCTCCCCATCTTCCTCAGCTTGGCCTTCTGTCAAACTTGCCAGGAATTCTGAGGAATGACAGATTTGAGAGGGACTTAAGCCTGCACCTTCTCCTCAGGTTTCCCTCTCTAAAATGCTGAGCCCCAGACTGAGCCTAGCCAATCTAGAAGGGGTCATAGCCTACCAGAGGCTGAGCCAGTGCGTGCCCTGCTGATGGGCCCTGGAGGGTAGAGACAATCACAGGAGGTCCTACATGTATTCCCAGGCCAGGGCTGGGTCACAGGAAGGAAACAACATTTTCTTGAGAGGGGAAATGTCTCCCAGCATGCTCCCCTGGCTCTGAAGCTGAAATTGGTATGACCTGTGTCCCTTTAACACTAGAGCCACAGCCTGCCTACTCTGTCGGGTGGACCCCTGTACATACTTTTTCTGCTAGCCTCTCAAACCCCTTCCCTCCCACTATGAAACAAAAGAAAAAATGTTTTTAAAAAAACTGCATAAGCTTAACTCATTGATGAGTTATTTTAATTTTAAACTCTTTTCAGGTCCAGTCAAATTTTGCTACAGAAGCCTTTGTTATGGAAAGGAATAAACCTACAAATCAAGGCTGTAGCTTTGCGATTATTTTTGAAAAAGTTTTTGGATCCCACAGCCCTAGAATGGGGAACTGGGGACCAGAGGCAGGGCCTTGGCTTCTGGGGGTTGGTCTGGCAGGTGGCAAAGGGGTGTGAGTCAGAGACAGGATTGAAGGAGAGGCCATGACCCTGCTGGGGTCCGGGAGACCTGGATTCTGCTCTGCTTTGCTGTGGCTGTCTGGATCCTTCCCAAGGTACAGTTGTATATAATCTTGTCTGAGCTTAGATTCTGTGTGTGTTAGTGGTGGGGTTTGGTGGCTGGAAAGGGCCGTGCCCCAAAAAGGAATTGTGCTGATGTGTAGTTGATCAAGTGCAATAAGGGCTGGCGATTGCTGCTGGGGGCACTACCACCAGAAGTAACTTATTTTGTATTAGCATCCACATAAGAAGAATTGGCAGTATTTTCTGTTTTTCTGTTTTAGTTGGCTTGTTTCGTTTTGGATTAGTGAACTAAGTTATTGTTAATTATGTACAACATTTATATATTGTCCAAAAATTGTATGCTATCCTTATATTCCTTTAAACTGAATACTGTTAATAATAAAATACTTTTTGTGAATGCTTCTGTCCTATCTTATGGACTCCTGGGGTAAGAGAATCTCAGGTGCAGAGATTAGCAGTCAAAGTGAACTGCTTCTATAGGCCAGTGTTTTAGAGGGAAGGACTCCTGGAATTGGGGATGGGACCTTGTCTGGCTGGGACCTGGGATCCTGATATTTCTGAATTGCTTCCATCTGAATTTTCACATTATTACCTAACTGGGGGTCCTGGTGACTGGGTGGATACTGGAGAGGCTCAAGGAAGCTGTGGATTCTCCAGCCTTTGGTCCACACACTGATTTTTTTAGGTCTCAATTGGGGCTCTTGCAGAATCCAAGAAGGACTGACCCCATGTCCACTTCCTCTCAGGAAGTGATCAGCTTTTGTTGTTGAGCTATCTGGTCACCAGTATTCCCATTCATTGACAAACCTCATCACTAATGTCTTTGAACACTGTTGTCATTGATCCCTGTCCTCTCTAATCAATAATGTCAGTCACCAGAGATAGCCATTACTGGTACTCAGTGATCAATGACAATGTCTATGATTTAATGACAATCACACCAGAGCTTATGACTGTAGACATTTGATTACTAACAACTGATCACCAATACTTAACTACCAATAGTTTATCAATGCCTCTGATGGATGTTGTGTCTGATCACTGACATCCACAAAATGGAATCACCAGTGTCTCCAGTGACTGTCCTTGCTCACCAGTAATATGTGTGATCATAAATATCTTATTACCAATGTCTCTGATCAGCATATCTGTTCACCAGTATTTTTATTCAATGTATCTGTTTGCCACTACCTCTAATGACCACTGCCTGTTTCCCCAGTATTTCTATCCAACATGTCTGTGATCACCAGTGTGTCATACCACCAAAGTTCCTGATTATGAATATGTTGATCACTCTATCACTAATGGTTTAGTCCATCAAGAAATTTGATTACCAATGTCATTGATCAGTGTTCTTCTAATCAGTGATAGTTAAGATCACTCATATGTGCCTCCAACAGCTCTGATCATACTATTTCTCATCATCAATGTCTCTGATGATGTATTTTGTCATTTGTTTTCAATCACCAACATCTGTAGCCAACAATGTCCCTGATCATGGAATCCTCTTACTATCAAATTTTCTGGCTATCATTGTGGTCAGTAGTGACTCTGGTTACCAATACCCTTGACTGGTAAATGATGATCACCAAGCTCTTTAGTGTCTGACATCAGTGATTGTTGAATCTCTTTATCTTCCAAGTCCCTTATGACCAATGTCCCTTATAACCACGATCACCAACCTCCTTGGTCATTGGTGTCACTGGTAACCCGTGTCTCTGATCACCAAATTATCCAGTCATTGATGCTTTTGATACCCAGTAGATCACACACCACCAAGATCTTTGGATGTCTCCAGTCATTGAATCTTATCACCAATAGTTCCTCTACTCTTGCTCATCAAGGACATGAGCGCCAAATGTTTTCATCGTAATGCTCCTGTTGCCCACATCCTTTGTCCTTCAAGTTCTTGATTAATGATTGACATAACCAATGAACCATCATTTTGATTACCAAGACCTCTGAGCATTTCCTCTTGATCCTTCATGTATGACCACTACCCTCTCTGATCATGTTGTTTGAATGACATCATTTTCCCATGACTCCACCATCTCTAATTACAAATCACTCTAGTTATACATCTCTGATCAGTGACTCCTTTTTTAAAAAATTTTTTACTTACTTATTTTTAGAAAGAGGGGAAAAGAGGAGAGAGAGAAACATTAATGCAAGAGAGAAAAATTGATCAGTTGTTTCTCACATGTGCCCTTTCTGGGTACCAAACCTATAACCCAGGCACCTGTCCTAATTGGGGATACAACTGGTAACCCCTTGCTCTGTGGGATGATGCCCAACAAACTGAGTCACACTGATCAGGGCAATGACTCTTTTTGACCCTAATCATCCTCAGGTCCAGTCCTTTGGGTTGCTGATGACTTTGTATTTCTAATTGTCAACCTTTCTGTTCCTTGACAGCCCTGATGTACAATGGTTTGGGAGGTTTTCCTTTCATTCTTCCCATCCAAGATTGTCAGTGTTGTCAGGACACTTGCTTGGGCCTGGAGAGGCACTGGTCCTATGAAGGCCAACATGCTTTCTGTGAAGTACCAGATGCCCCAGCCTGAAGGTTAGAGATAAAAGAGTATCTCTGGCACTCAGACTCAGGACACCTCTTCTGCTGGTGTGCCACCACTACCTCACCCATATCCTTTCTCTGTGGAAGAGAAACATAAAGCATACAGGAACCCATCTGGGTGTAGATCTGGGTGGGTACTTTGCCTGCCCATCTGAATGTCTGTGCCCTCTCAAGCCTCCTAGAAAATTTCTTTCTAGCCCTTTCCCAGTACAGAGCATTTTGGCCTTCCCTCCTGCCACCTGTAGTGGCAGTACGAGCAGGGACAGTCCTGCTCTCCTGTGTCCAGCTTATAACTATAGCATTGTGTGTATATATCATCACGCAGTCAAGTGTGCCCTGTACACATGCCCATTGACCACCTCCTACACATGAGGCACTGTTGTAGGTGTGGGAGCTATACCAGTGAACGAAATAAAGCCCTTGAGGAGCTTACATTCTAAGCAAGAAGCACAATAACAACTCTACCTGGCCTCTGGCAAACTGTCCTACTTGCCTGGCCTACAATCTGCAGCCCAGAATCAAAATGTGGAGTCCAGAGCTGAAGCTCTACAACTTGTATCCCTGAATTTGGAAACCACAACCCAAAACACAGAGCACAAATCTTGTACCCCAAAAATTAGAGTTTGGAGCTCAGAATCCAGAATTTTTTTTAACTTTTTTTAAACTTTTTTTATTGATTATGCCATTACATTTGTTCTATTTCCCCTCCTCCACTCCCCTCCACCCTGCACACCCCTCCCCCACCATTCTCCCCCCTTTAGTTCATGAACACGTGTCTCAAGTTCTTTAGATTCTATATTTCCCCTACTATTCTTACCCTCCCCCTATCTATTTTCTATCTACTGTCTATGCTACTTATTTTCTGCACCTTCTCCCCCTTCTTCTTCTCCCACTCCCCTGTTGCTAACCCTCCATGTGATCTTCATTTCTGTGGTTCACTCCTGATCTAGCTGTCCTCTTAATTTGCTTTTGTTTTAGGTGTGGTTGTTAATAACTGTGAGTTTGCTGTCCTTTCACTGTTCATCTTTTTTATCTTCTTTTTCTTAGGTAAGTCCCTTTAACATTTCATATAGTAAAGGCTTGGTGATGATGAACTCCTTGAATTAGATCTTATCTGTGAAGCACTTTATCTGTCCTTCCATTCTAAATGAAAACTTTGCTGGGTAGAGCAATCTTGGTTGTAGGTCTTTGGTTTTCATGACTTGGAATACCTCTTTCCAGCCCCTTCTTGCCTATAAGGTCTCTTTTGAGAAATCTGCTGACAGTCTGATGGGAACTCCTTTGTAGGTGACTGTCCCCTTACCTCTTGCTGCTTCTAGAATTCTCTCTTTCATTTTAATCTTGGCTAATGTAATGATGATGTGCCTTGGTGTGTTCCTTCTTGGGTCCAACTTCTTTGGGACTCTCTGAGCTTCCTGTATTTCATGGAAGTCTATTTCCTTTGCCAGATTGGGGAAATTCTCCTTTATTATTTGTTCAAATAAGTGTTCCACTCGTGGGTGTTCCTCTTCCCCTTGTGGTACCCCTATAATTCTGATGTTGGAACGTTTAGAGATGTCCCGGAGGTTCCTAAGCCTCTCCTCATTTTTTTTTTTTTTGAATTCTTGTTTCTTCATCCTTTTCTGTTTGGTCATTTTTTTCCTCTTTCTGGTCCACTCCTTTGATTTGAGTCCCAGTTTCCTTTCCATTACTATTGATTTCCTGTGCATTTCCTTTCATTTCAATTAGTTTAGCCTTCATATATTCCTCTAATTTGTGACTATAATCAACCAGTTCTGTGAACATCCTGATCACCAGTGTTTTGAACTGTGCATCTGAAAGTTTGGCTATTTCTTCATCGCTTAGATTTATCGGCTCTGGGGCTCTGAGTTGTTCTTGAGCCATGTTTTGATCTGTTCATGCCTGTTACATACAAGGAGAGGCACCTTGGTGTTTATCGGGGCGGGGCCACCCAGGTAGCTGGTTTGTGATGCTGTATGTGGGGGCGGGGTCAGAGGGGGAACAATGGCGGTCCTCTCCACTTGCCCAGTCCGCCTCACTGGTGCCCTGCCTGCTTATCCAAGCACAAATGTGTGAGTCTGCTGCCCTGTGCCAGTCGCTGGGGCCTGCGAGATCTGTCTCAATGCTTGCCTCTTCACTAGTTTATCTGCATGCAAATGCGCGACCCACTGCAGACAGCCAGCAGTGCCTCTTCCCTGGGTTCCGCCCGTAGCTAGCCCGCACCTGGGATCCGTGCCCCAGCTGCCTGTGCACCGCCTGGATCTTTTTGCCCGACTGGCTCCGCTGTTGGTTTCACTCCTCTCACTGGTTTAGTTGAGTGGTCTGTTATTTCCGGACTCCGTATTCGATTTTCTGTGTAGTTTGGTTGTGTTTATTGTCGTTAAAACTTTGTTGTTTTTAGATTTGGTTGTGCGAGGACGAAAAGTGTTCCCACCTACGCCTCCATCTTGACGGAAGTCCAGGATCCAAAATTTCCATACAAGAACTGAGTCTAGGGCCCAGAACCTTGACCTCAGAATCTAGATCTCAGAATTTAGAATCCAGAACAGGGGCCCTAAGTATGGATCCCCAAATCTACAACCTAAAGGTTGGAGCTCAGAACTCAGAATTTAGTATCAAGCACATGGAGCCCAGTGCCTAGCATATGGCTCAGGACATAAAGGTCAGAATCCAGAGCTCAGTGTGAGCCCTAAGAGAAGCCTCTCCAGATTTTCTGTTATTCCTGAGTCTTACTGTCTTCCTTCAGCCAACCAAAATTTTTGAATCATGCAATTCCAAGCTCTGTCAAAGGTGCTGAGAAGCAGCCAACAGGAAACAAGCAGAGAAGTGGATTCCTTCTCTCTGCAGTGTCAGGTCCAAGACAGCAGGGACTGTGTCTGTGTTGTCATTATTGTATTCCCATTGGCTTTTTCAGGCTTTGTGGTAGGTGCTTTATAAATGTCTGTTGAACAGATTCATTATTTTTCCCACTAATGTTTATTGACCCTATTTTTTCTAGGCATTTGGGTTGAGGATAAAACACACTGAGATCTTCTCTGGTGAATCAGCTGTCTCTGGCGTCCAAGAAACTCTTGGAGGGTAGGGGCTGTTTCTGACAAAGAGCTTAGGGAAGGCTGTGGTGGGAATGCTGGGATAGTATTAAATGGAAAGGGGTGACTTCCAGGAGCAAGGAAAGGACACTTGCTTGGTTTTTTTTTCTTTTATTGACCCTAGAGAGAGGGGAAGGGAAGGAGAAAGAGATGAAAACATTGATGTGAGAGAGAAACTTCAGTCAGTTGCCTCTTGGGCCCCTATTGGGGACCAAATGTGAAACCCGGGCATGTGCCCTAACCAGGAATCTAACCAGAAACCTTTCAGTTTGCATGATGATGCCCAACCAACTAAGCCTCACTAGCCAGGGTGTACCTGACTATTTAGTAGGTGTTTTCAGCATTTCCTCCACCCTGTCCCCAACAAAGCAGAGACCCCACATATGGTGTCTTCTGTCCAGCTGGAGAAATTGAGGACCACTGGGTGCTGGAATGAGGAGGTCTCAGGCCCTGGGAGTGAGAAGAACAGGATCTCTCCCTACTGGCATTCAGGCTGGAGTTGGATGGGTCACTTGCAGACACTTCCTTCCACTGTTCCACTTGTCCCTCCCACAGAACCCCCACACTGTGGGGTTCTCTAGGGGGCCCTTTTGCTTCTTCTCCCTGCCTCTCCCCCGGGTCTGGCTGTGATTCAGGTTTTCACAGCTTTGAGGGGATGCTGGAATGGGCCTCCTTTCCTTGGAATTTAGGGATGAAGGGGACTTTTGTACACACACATTAGAGCACCTGACCACCTTCTCAGCATTATCCACTATGCCCTCTTCTCCATCTTACATTACCCAGCTTCATCTTCACCTGCTCTATAATACTATCTTCCTCCCTGCTCTCACCTCTAGCCTCAGGCTCATGCCCTGCAACCTGTCTCTTCTGCTATAGAGATTTTTTTAAATTAAAATAAAAAAAAATTAAGTTTATTGGAGTAACATTGGTTAAGTGATTATATACATTTCAAGTAAAGCACTGTATCATTGTGTGTTCATTACCCCAAATTTAGTCTCCTTCTGTCATCACATATTTGATCCCTTTCCCCCTCTCTAATCTCCCCCTACCTTCCTTTCCCTCTGATAATCCCCATACTATTGTTTGTGTCAATGATTTTTTTGTATGTGTTCGTTTGTTCGCTTTGTTATTTTTTGTTGCTTTCTTTGTTATATCACAGGGTTCTTTCTTAATCTTTTCATTTCAATTATGAAACATTTTAGATATCCAAAAATGTACCTACTAATATAACAGACAACATGGTACTATGCTGCATAACAAATAGCCAAAAACTGAACAGCTTAAAACCATACACATTTATTATTTCAGTCTCTGTGAGTCAGGAGCCCATGAAACATAATAAATAGCTACTAATATAACAACACCACAGTATCTGGGTCCTCACTTAGGGTCCTACAAGGCTATAGCCCCTTGCAGACCAAGGCTGGGCTCTCCCTTAGATTTCCTTGCAGCTATAAGATTCTTGGCAGCTTGGAGGGAGTCTTAAATAATGTTCTGCACTTGGGAATAACATCCCATTGCCTTTGTCACATTCTAGAGGCTATACCAAGTTACAGTGGGTTATACTCATCCTTCAGTGCCTAGTTGTAGTGGAGACAGAGAAACAGTCTTGGACCTCCCCAGCTGAAGCCAGTAGGGGTACCTTTAAAGACACTGCTCAAACAGAGCAAGGATGTGTGTATGTGTGTTTGTGCATGTGTGTTTGTCTGTACTGGTATGCACAAATGTATGGTGATATCAGTGTCACCATACACTGAGAATGCATGTGGAGGTGTGGGGTGTTTTGACTAACTTATCTAAAAGAAAAGCCCCATCACTCTGTAAGTCCTTTTTCTGCTTTATTTTCTCCATGGCACCTATCATTACCTGATATTATATTAAACATTCATTAGTTATCTGTTTCTTATATCTCCCCCACTAGATGTCAGCTCAATGAGGGAAAGGCCCTCTCTAGTGTGTTCACTGGCATATATATCTGCAATACTGAGAGGGTTGCCTGGCATGCAGCACAGGTGTAGAAAGCAGCTCAAGAAATGTGTGGGATGGAGAGATGGGTGAGTGGGTAGGTGGGTGGATAAATGGGTGGATAGATAAATGGATGAAAGAGTGGGTAAATTAGTTGGGTATATGGATGAATGGATGTCTACTGTTGTGAATGTATGCATACAGGCCTTTACTCTGAACACACTTCAGGTTTCTTTGTTCTATAATCTTTCCAGAAAGATCTAGGAAGCCCTATACCCCACAAGCTGCATAGACCCATTGGTATGTAAGGAAGCTCTTGGAATTGAATCCTTCTAGGGACTTAGGACCAGCTGTTGGAACTAGGATCAGAGTCCTGCCCAAGGTCACTCCATGCAGGGGTGATGGGCTGAGGACTAGGGTGCTGTGAGTGAGGAGGGGAGAATGGCTTCCCCAATAGGTTGGTGCACTTTGGAAGTTGTATGGGGGAGTTCCACAAATGATGCCTTTGCTCAAGCAGTAAAGCCCCACTTAAAACTAGATCTGAGTTTCCATAGACCACATGGATCTCTACCAAGAAGGATGTTACCTGGATCGAGATTGAGGAAATGATCCTGGAGATTCAGTGGGTAACCATCATCGCTGGCTAAGAGGGTTGAGCGGGAAGCATCCTGGAGGTACTAGGGAGAGAAAGCAGATCTGAGCCAGGTCTGTGTTGAGACCTGAGTTAAGGTTATCTAGTCACCTCTGGAGAAGGAGAAGGGTTGCCTTCCACTTTTATATCCCTGCCTGTCACCGAATATTCCCTGTCAATCCCACCTATTTAGTAACCCACCACTTGACCAGCTTTCCATATAAAGCTGGTCAGAGCTTCCCTCATTTGTCAGACTCTTTCTATCCATCTGTCCATACACCATTGTCAACATTATCACCATTATGCTAGCAAGTAAGCTGTCCTCACAGCAACCCCATGAGGAAAATAGTATTACTACCCCCATTTTATAAATGAGATGAGGAAATGGCACAGAGATCCTAAGTGACTTCACTAAGAACACACAGCTAATAAATAACAAAGCTCTCTGACAAGCTGAGCTGAGCTCTTAATCCCTTGATCTGTCTGTTCATCCATCCATCCACCCTCACTCATTCAGTCCCTTCACTCACCTATCACTGTCTATCCAGTGACCCCATCTATCCATTGCTGTCACCCATCCATCCTGAAGATAATGCAATTAGAGAACCAGGGGACCTGAGAGGAGAGAAGGCCGGAACTGCCCATCTGGCTGGGGGTAGGGAATGGGACTGTGGAGGTGGGGTGAGCTGCCCCAGGCTGGGCAGGGTTGCATGGGACTGGAGGGAATTAGCCCAGTGACTGCCAGGATCATCTAATTAAGAATGCTAGTGATAAGAAGATAGGAATCGGTGGTGGTTAGAATCATTTTAAAAAGCTACTCCATTAATTACAGAGACAGAGAGCAGCCTCTGGCTGCTCAGAATACCAATTTGTTGCCTAATTGGCCTCCTGTCAGTTTACCCTGGGACTGCTGTGTGGCCTTGGCTGTGCCTTGGCTTCTCTGGACCTCCCTGTGCATGGTTAGGCTCTGCCTGAGATCACCTTCCTGGTCACTCCTCTCTTCCCAGGTCCTGGCTCAGGAAGCTGGCTTCAGGGACATCAGAAATCAGAGGCCAGAGAGGCTAGGCTGGCTCCCCAGAGGGGAGGGAAACCTGAAAGTTTTACCACCCCATTTGCAAATGAGGACCTCGAAGCTCAGAGAGGGGAAGTGACCTCTCATCCTATGAGACAAGAATCTGGGGAATCTGCTCATCCCTACTCCTCCATCTCTTTGAAAGGGGAAATCCCCTCTACATCCTGCCACCAGGTTCCATTCCTTTCTTTATGGGGAGCTTGCTCCACACCCACCCCTGGGAAACTGGGAAGGCTTTCCATTTTCAGGGAACCTTTAGCAATGAAGAGCTGTGCCCTGGGACAGCTCTGACCAAGGGGATATGATGGGGTCTCCAGACCTGTCTCCATCCCAGCTGCCTCATACAGTTTCTCCCTAGGATGAGGCCTCAGGGTGAGTGTAGAACTTGGGCATGGAGTGGGTCAGGGAACCTGCTGAAGGACTCTGAAAAATCAGGGGCCAGAAAATTCCTTCTTGGGAGGACAATGGAGGTCAGCACCAGAGTCTCAGGCAAGGAGGAGAGGGGAGCCTGGGCAGGGGGAAGCATCTGAAGGATTCTTGGACATCTCATCATTCTGGGTTCCTTGTCCATTAACATTGCTGTAGCCACTCCCATATACACTGTCTCAATTATACTCTTATGGTACCTTCAGGCTTCACTTGTAGCAATGCTATTGTCATCAACCCCCTTACCAGTATCACATCACCCCATCACCATCACCATAAACATACCATCATCTCTACCACCATCATCACCACAATCACTATATCCATCACTATTGCTATGACCTCAATTGGTATCACCATCACATTGCTCATATTACTATTATCACATTATCACTCCCATTACTTCTTCCTCTCCTGCTTCTGACATCACCTTCATTACCTCCAGCACCTGCAACAAGTATCACCATTACTATGACCATCATTATGACCATTATTACCATTACTATCACTAGCATTACCACCATCACTATAATCACTATCACTTCTATCACTACTACAACTATCCCACCTCTGATAGAACACCATTATTACCACCATGTCTACCATCATTTTCACCACTTCTACTACCTGCTTCACTACTATCACTACCATTACCATGTCTACCTCAAATAGTATCCATATTACCACTGATCACCAATTCAACTACCACTGTCATCACTACTACCACCAGCATCACAACCTCACTGTCATCACCACCATCTTCATCTCAACCACTGTCACCATTAATATGACCATCATATTAATACCATTATCACCACAATTACTATTACTAGTAACTACTATTACTATTACCACACATTACTATCATTACTGCCATTTCCACCTCAACCAATACCGCTATTACTACCACCTTCCTCATTACTACCATCTTCATCTCTCTTACCACTACCACCATTATTATATCTACCTCAGCTGGAGTTATCATTACCTCTAGCTCTACCATGACCACTGTCATCACTCCAACACACCTCCAACACACCTCTGACTTCACATCATTATCACTACCTGCATTATTACCATTATCACCATTATGACTATGTAACAGGTATGAAGGCATTTAATAGTTTCCACAACCATTGGACAACCCAGAGGAATAAAGATCAGGGAAGCAAATCATTGCTGATGGTATCGGTCTGCAGCTCTAAGGCGAGTAGACCTCAACGACTCACCAGGAAGCTAGAAATCTCATGATATTCTGGGAAGCTACCCCTGAACATTTGAACCTCAGCTCTGAAGCAGAGGATTCTCAGCAGATTGTCCAGAAGCTGCTGTGAAACTCTGGGTTGTCATCTGCCTGCAATTTCTTTTACTTTTCCACTTTCCAAATCTTATCAATTGGCTAGCTCTAACCTGAAACAATATGGGTAAGAAGATTCTGGAAAATCTTCCAGAGTTCTCTACTATGCAGAGAAGATTATAGAAGAGGATGGTGGTAGTGCTGAGTTAGCAACAGAAAATATAGAACCCACACCTCCAATATCATTACCCTCACTAGCAGCACTATGGCTATAGCAGTCATTCCCACCAGTATATCATTCCCACCACTTTAAGCAACCCCACCATATTTCCATTTATATCACAGTTACTGCCACCTAAACCATTACCACACTTCAGCACTTACACTTCCATAACCAGCAGTACAACCACGATTTATACCAGGGCCATTATTACCACCGCCCATGTCATTCCCATTATAACCTGTAGCATAGTGCAATAGCATAGTGCAATATTGACAACATCCCTCTCCTCTCTAAGAGTATTGTGCCTCTCTAGTTGTTGCTTGAGATATGCAGAACCTTCCTAAAGGAGTGCCAATCCCTACTCCTTTGACAGTGGCTTTGACCATATGTCATGAGCAGAGTGGCAAACATCACATCCCAAAAGAAGTTTTAAGAGGCATCCCAAGTTTCTACCAGCTCTTACTTGTACTCTCTCTGCCATGAGGATAGTATGTTTCAGATTATAGCCACTTCTCCTCAGCCCAGGATCCAGAATGAGAAGGCATGTGAGTGGAGCCCCAGCAGCTGACCCATGGGTGCTAACAAGTAAAGTGGATAAGAACTAAATGTCTTGGACTTCCGCCAAGATGGAGGCGTAGGTGGAAACACTTTGCATCCTACCACAGCCAAATGTAAAAACAACAAAGTTTTAACAACAATAAACGCAACAAAACCACACAGGAAATTGACAATACAGAGTCCAAAAACAATGAACTCAGCTAAACCAGTGAGAGAGGCGAAGCCAGCAGTGGACCAAGTTGGGCAAAAAAGATCCCCAACCCAGGCGGTGCACAAGCAGCTGAGGGCGTGGATCCCAGGTGTGGGCTAGCTATGGGCGGACACAGGGAAGAGGTGCGGCTGGCTGTCTGCAGTGGGTCTCGCATTTGCATGCAGATAAACCACTGAAGAGGTGAGCATTGAGACCGCGTGGTGCAGGGCGGCGGGCTTGCACATTTGTGCTCAGATAAATAGGCGGCACGAGCGGCGAGGCAGAGTGGATGAGCGGAGAGGACTGCCTTGCTCCCTCTCTGACCCCGCCCCCACATACAGCATCACAAACCAGCTACCTGGGTGGCCCCACCCTGGTGAATACCTAAGGCTCCCCTCCTCATACTTAACAGGTGAAAACAGACCAAAACATGGCTCAAGAAGAACTCAAACCCCTGGAGCTGATAACTCTAAGCGACCAAGAAATTGCCAACCTATCAGATGTACAGTTCAAAACACTGGTGATCAGGATGCTCACACAACTGGTTGATTTTAGTCACAAATTAGAGGAATATATGAAGGCTAAACTAATTGAAATGAAGGGAAATGCACAGGAAACCAATAGTAATGGAAAGGAAACTGGGATTCAAATCAAGGGAGCAGACCAGAAGAAAGGAAAAAATGACCAAACAGAAAAATATGAAGAATCAAGAATTCAAAAAAATGAGGAGAGGCTTAGGAACCTCCAGGACATCTTTAAACGCTCCAACATCCAAATTATAGGGGTACCAGAAGGGGAAGAGGAACAGTCACGAGTGGAAACCTTATTTGAACAAATAATAAAAGAGAACTTCCCCATTCTGGCAAAGGAAATAGACTTCCAGGAAATCCAGGAAACTCAGAGAGTCCCAAAGAAGTTGGACCCAAGAAGGAACACACCAAGGCACATCATCATTACATTAGCCAAGATTAAAATGAAGAAGAGAATCCTAGAAGCAGCAAGAGAGAAGGGGACAGTCACCTACAAAGGAGTTCCCATCAGACTGTCAGCAGATTTCTCAAAAGAGACCTTATAGGCAAGAAGGGGCTGGAAAGAGGTATTCCAAGTCATGAAAACCAAAGACCTACAACCAAGATTGCTCTATCTAGCAAAGTTTTCATTTAGAATAGAAGGACAGATAAAGTGCTTCTCAGAGAAGACCAAATTCAAGGATTTCATCATCACCAAGCCCTTACTATATGAAATGTTAAAGGGACTTACCTAAGAAAAAGAAGATAAAA